GTATCACATTGTTATGTACTGTAACATAGTATCACAATGTAGTGTATCACATTGTTATGTAGTGTGACATAGTATCACATTGTTATGTAGTGTGACATAGTATCACATTGTTATGTAGTGTAACATAGTATCACATTGTTATGTAGTGTAACATAGTATCACATTGTTATGTAGTGTAACAGTATCACAATGTAGTGTATCACATTGTTATGTAGTGTAACATAGTATCACAATGTAGTGTATTACATTGTGATGTAGTGTAACATATAAACAGTATAGTATATCCCATTGTGATGTAGTGTAACGGGTATAACAGTAGTGTAGTGTAACATAGTATAACAATGGAGTGCATCACATTGAAATGCTGCATAACAATGTGTAAAGTGGTATGGCGTGGTATGGCATGGTGTGGTGTGGTGTGGTGTGGTGTGGTGTGGTGTGGTGTGGTGTGGTGTGGTATGGTACATACATGTGATATTATGAGGTTATCACAAGAATAACACAAAGTATGCAATGAAGGCAGTACTGGTAATCATATCAGTCGATGCATAGCATAAGCCGTTGTGATCTCTTGTAATGCTTGATTGCATATTTACACCATTCTTGTGGTAACATTATTATACATCTCAGTATTATAATTTTGTTAAAAATGTTTTGTACAGATACTTTTTGAAACAAATGCATTTCACAGATACTTTTTGAAACAAATGCTTTTCACAGATACTTTTTGAAACAAATGCATTTCACAGATACTTTTTGAAACAAATGCATTTCACAGAATGGTTAATTTTATTGTTTTTAGTGTTAGATGTATAATAACTTGATATACAGTAATTATTACTATATTTTCCTTATAATTTTTTCCCCAACATTACTCTCAGTAAATTTTGAGTAAAAATAAAATATTCTACAGTATATACAAATTTGTGATTGAAGTTGAATGAAAAACTAATGCAATGGGAAATGAATGATAAACTGTTAATGAATGATTATTCACACGCCTGCAGAAAGACGAGACAAGCGCCCTCTATTGTCATTTGGATCACTATAGAGGGCGCTTATTACATAAATCAAGTCAGGCAAACAATTCTACACACAAGAAAATAAACACATGCAACACTGATTACAATTTGTCTGTACAATGATGAAAACTGTATAGAAGTATAAGGGAGAAATCTAAAATTGATAAAGGTTTGAAGCATATTAATAACTACAATAAAAAAACTTGGTTAGATAGTCTTCTGTGTTAAATCACTTCTTGTGTTAAAGGAAATATTTCAGGTTCTCTGGTCAAAACGATAAATACCAATGTCCTTGACTGTCACAAAGGCACATCGTGTGTTTGACGCAGACGAGTCGTGTGTTTGGACGGCGAGTCGTGTGTTTGGACGGCGAGTCGTGTGTTTGGACGGCGAGTCGTGCGTTTGGACGGCGAGTCGTGCGTTTGGACGACGAGTCGTGCGTTTGGACGACGAGTCGTGCGTTTGGACGACGAGTCGTGCGTTTGGACGACGAGTCGTGCGTTTGGACGACGAGTCGTGCGTTTGGACGACGAGTCGTGCGTTTGGACGACGAGTCGTGCGTTTGGACGACGAGTCGTGCGTTTGGACGACGAGTCGTGCGTTTGGACGACGAGTCGTGCGTTTGGATGACGAGTCGTGTGTTTGGACGACGAGTCGTGTGTTTGGACGACGAGTCGTGTGTTTGGACGACGAGTCGTGTGTTTGGACGACGAGTCGTGTGTTTGGACGAAAAGCCGTGTGTTTGGACGAAAAGCCGTGTGTTTGGAAAACTGGTCTCAAGTTTAGAAATCAGACCATATTTAGACAAGTTGAATGACAAGCTGATACAAGAACTTTTTAACAAGAAAACAGACCGAATAGTATGTTAGTGAAGCACATTAAACAGAAAGATGAAATTAAATTAAATTTTAGCAGTGAAATAACCAGAGTAACTAGCAAAAAGAAAATATCACCACTACGAGAGAATCTTGAAGAATAATATATAGCATTTACACAATTAAGTTGTACAAGCACCAATAGACGGTCATATTGAAGGGCAAGGAAGTATCAGCAGCAAAGAAGAAACTGTAAAGCAAAGAATCAGTTTGTAAATAAACAGGTAAGAGCACTATTAATGCTTAAATTTACCAGTAATTCAAGGTAAAGTAGAATAGAATAAATCATTAACAGAGATAAAGATAAAGCAGTCTGATCCACGTCATTTGATTTTAATCCATGTCAGTATTCTGATTCATGTAGTTTGTCAAATATTATGAAGAGATTTAGCTTCACGAGAAAATAAATTGTTGGAAGATTGTTAGTTATTTGCATCCCACTAGTAACCACATTAATTGGTTTACAGAATCAAGTGAAGATCCAGCTACGGGAAAATCACAATTTATGGCAAATTTAACACATCCTTCAATACAAAGCAACAAAAACTTGTTTTTTGTTGTTGAAAAAAATTGCACTTTGTCTTCTTCAGAATTTAAAAGAGCAAAACACAAAAAAACAATCCATCCAAATTTCAGGAAATCCTGCCCTAAAGGTGTGACAATCAACAATGCAGTATCTATCTTTTAAAAAAAAATAAATAGGAATATTTTTAATGTTTCTGCCACAATTAACAATATACTAAGTAGAAAGAATATTTAACCCTTATATGGTCAAGTCAATGTGAAAATACATGGGTCTGGCAGGACAAGGCCCAACTTTTTCACCAAATTTGTTATGCACTATTTTCTTATACTCTTCAATATTTCTGGAAGTGAATCTAATTGTGGAGCCAACAGACAAAATTTGAGTCAATTTTCAGTTTTTAAATTTTCAAAGAAATTTGGCTATTTTCGTCCTTATCTTCTGATGGAAAGTGCAGACTATAAATAGGACTATTTTGTGAATTTCAGATGAAAATATACAACTTGTGGTGAAAAAGTTAAAGCTCCAATTATTTTAGGTTTAATAAGATCAGTTGTGTTGAATATATGAAGAAATCCCTAGCTCTGAGAATGTGTTTTAATTTGAGCCTGGAGACTGACGTTACCTGTACAGCAGCACCGTTTACTTCATCATCTAGTTGAACCGCCATGAGAGCAGAAGTTCCTTTCTCATCAGCAGTGGAATCCAAACCCTGTTGATGTAATCAAAATCTTTCTTCAGATCAGACATGGTAATTTGAATCTAGTTTAATAGGGAGTCAAATTTTATCAGTGGGCATAAGAGGTACACCGCTATCCCTAGTATTGCTGATTACAAACAAGGCAAAAAAGATTCCAGCATTACCTCACTTCTGTTCAGACAATTTCAGGAAAAATTTAGGTTTTCTTTTATAGTAATGTACAATAGACACGTTATAAACATAGTCTCACCTGCCAATAGTAGATGATATAGTTCTCTTTATTGTTGACAAGGTAGGTATACTTGATAACATAACAATCTCCACCAAAGAACTGGCCATACAGATTCTTCTCAAGTGGCACTTTGTCAAAGTTATCAATACGCCAAATCTGTGTGAAAAATAATAAAATATTTCATAATTGGAAATCACTATTTCAGGTAAGACCAAAATCAGCTTTCTTCAGTTTTTTTTCTTTCTTCAAAGTTTCAATCACACTCATTAGCTAACAGGAAAACGTGTCCATTTAAAATAGACACATGTAAATATGCACAATATGGCCAAATAATTTTGATTGCAGAAAGTGATGGCATTAAAACAGTTTATTTTATTTTATTGGAGACAAATTGTTAATTTTTATGAGACTGGATCATTAAAACAGCAATTTTTTTTTTTTTTTACAGAAACCAGCAGGTCCTGAACATACCTCTTTATTGCCTGTTCCATCATCCACCATTTTACTTTGTGCTGCTCTCTGTGGGTCAGCATGTAGTGTTGCTGCATCAAACTTGGTCTGTACGGTGTTAGCTGTTTAAAAAATAATCATATCAAATAAAAATAGTCTTTGCACAATAATTTACAATAAGTGATACCTCTGCAATATAAACAGCAGATAGTTTTTATGACTAGTTTCCTCGCTTGGTGATGGTGACCATGGTAACAGCATGAATATGGCTTTCCTCTATTTGTTAATAGAGGCGTTTTGAGTGTGTTCCATGGTTGCTATATGTTAGTGACAAAAGAAAGGGGAGTTTTTTGCAAGTTCAAGATACTTGCATATCTTACAAATGTATGCATGTAAAAAAATATATATTATACTGTGGGTCTAGGAATGTAAAACACGTTTTTTATATTTTATGAAATGTTCATAAAATGATGTCAACATTACAGAATTACTATGTTCGGAACATAACTGAAAGCTTGCATAGCAAAATATCTGACTCTCTGTTGAGTGGAAATGAATGTTTCTTTGACATCCAGCCTTTTGCGCACACAGTAAGCTAAGCAACCAATGATACCCGAAACCTGTCATAGCCTTAATTTAAATGAAATGTTGCAACCATAAAAACACGTTGCAGATTTTGCTTCAGTGTTCAAGAACTGTGTAGGCTGGGTCCATTACCATATTTGGGATACAGAAAGTAGCAGCATCACCATATATAGGGAATTAGTTTACATGTCACCATATATGGAGAGCAGGTTTACATATACAGGTATGGAAAGCAGGTGGTATAATCATCACTATATATGGAGTTGGAAAAGTTTTGCATACATTTCTAGAGGTATCCATCACCGAGGAGGGGAAAGTAACACATTTATGATGTAAAGCAGTGGTCATGCATGGAAGAGTTAGTGAAAGGTCCATGCATCTGATGTGCGTCAAACGAGTGTGCCACGCTATAATAACAAATATTAGAAATAACCAAGCTCATTTCAATAACGAACGTTAGTTTTCATCATTCCCGTTTATTAGTTAATTGTTTTAGTCAGATGAAACCAGTTAAATATTTGTTTTCAAGTCCAGTGCAATCCAGACAGAACTGGTTTAAACCAGACTAAGTCACTTACAATCAGCTATTGCATAGAAGTAGCAGATAATAGCAATGAAGACATCAGAAGTTGAAAATCATCAAAATCATGGAAGAAAAAGGAGAAACATAGTGTTTTTAAATAACAAAGAAAATAACTGACAGATAGAACATATAAAAAAGTATTGTTATAAATAGTTTTGAAATTATAATTTCAGCAACAACGAAGTATAGAAAATAAATTAATCTAGCAGAATGCAAGCTGAAAGCATAAAGACCATTATTAAAGCCCTGAATAACATTTTATCCACCTATATTTTGGTCCATTTAAACAATTTTATATATTTTTTTTCTAGAATTATTTTGTTGATATTTCCTTAATACTATTGTAAATTACTTTATTTTCAATTAGAATTTATTTTCTTCAATGAAAGAAAGAATTGGTGTAAATAAAATACAGCGAAAACAGCCAAAATGACTGTAGCGAAAATTAATTATAAAATAAAGTATTTTACAGTATATGTTTTTATCAATCTATTCCTGAAATACAGGTACAACAATTTCTGAAATAGAAATACAACATTCATACCCATAACAGAACAAAAAATAACACTAGCATATTGAAGTACTGACTGAAACATGGTGTATTGGTAATTAGGTAACACAAGCAGATGCAGAATATGCTACATACACCCCCATTAACATTTAATGGTTTGACCCAGTCTGAACCATTTAGAAAATGAGGGGTGGATAAGGTCAAACATGGGGGACAACTTACCAATTTTTCCTCTGGTGTGAGTTTTTCCCAAACCAGTAGTTGCTCCCTTGTCTCTCCAGTTTTTGAATAAACCTTTGAAAGAGGCTGGCTCTGCATTTTCAATCACAGCTGTGCACTTGGTATGTTTGGGGTACTTTTTAGCAGTGATAAAGTTCTAAGTGAAAAAAAAATGTCAAGTTTCATATCATCTAGAACAAGTATTCAAGGAATATCAGCAGTTGTTATATTACCAAAAACACCACACGCAAGATTTAATGAAAGTAAAAATTAACACCAAAACTATTATAGAAACAGACTTATCCTTCGATTTGAAGGAGAAAATTTTGTTCACACAGAAAAGTTGCATGATCTTTTAATGTATTATGTTACAGGTAATATCACCAATCATGTCAGAGGTTGTCTGAGAAGGGCAGTTGATGGGTAGGGAAGATAATATAGCAGTATTTTTAATCCACGCATAAAAGACAAAACACCTCTCCGGCCAGATGTAATTTTAAAGCTGACCATTGATGCGAGAGCATGTGCACGTGTGATTGGGGCAGAAAGTAAATGTGTAGGCTGCCAATCCACATAATGCATACACTCCCTAGCTGGCTCAAACCAGTTCTATCTGGATCACATTAACTAGATTTAACTGGTTTGTTCTGCAAATAGGGAGAGACCACAAGTTTCGGATAACTTTCCTGCTCCAACATCAATGGTCAAAAGCACACTCCAGTAGTTTAACCTTTGAGCACCACCATTTTATCCCCACTCACATTTTAGTGTAACATTTTGCTCATGTATTTTTCTATTTATTTTTTTTATAATTTTGGACAAAATGAACATAATTTCCTAATTGGCTACAAGCCTTGATCAATCTTTTAGAAAAACTGAGGCAAAAATGTGGGTTTAAAATTTGGGAATGGTGATAAAAGTTGACTTTTGTGCTTCAAAGGGTTATTACACACAAACCCTTAACATGTTATAGTTTATGTTAGTAGAGTGAAACGTGCATGAATAAGCAGGCTTCATGCTCACGCAAAACCAAGTAAGAATTCAACAAAATGAATTTGTTCGAAATATCAACCAAATTTTTGGAAATTTTAGCAAATTTTTCTATTATTTTCTTGAAAGTCAATGGTTCTGAAAAGTCAAGTTTTCCCTGTTACAAAATGTCATGACTGTGTTTTGACTCCTAAAATTCATGACGAGGTCAAAATTATACAGTTGTATCTTCCAAATTTACTTCCATCGTCAATTCACATTTCAAATTGCAACAAGTACAAGTGGTTGTTAAATATTTCAAACAAATTTCTGCATGAGAATACAAACCGTTTTCAGCACTGAACATGGATACATTACCAAGACATACGCTACACAAGTTGTCAGTACTGATGTTCTCGGCGTATACATGGTGTAGACTAGGTATGGTGGCCAAGCTGCACTTACAGTATAATATGCAGCTGGTGGATTCATGAAGGTGTATTTTCGAGTCCATGCATTTGGTTATTTTGACTGTGGCATATTTAGAAAGTCACATTGTTATCTACTGTAATATCACCTGACTTTTTACTCCTTTTTTTTTGGTGACTGACTAGTTAGAGAAGGGGAGTGGATTTTGTATCAATATGGGTATATTTTCATGCTGATTAGAGTGAATTTGAAAATGAGTTAGTACAATAATTTGCATTGTGTCAAAATAATGTATACATCAGCCAATCCATCGTGCATATCTTGCAGTATTCTTGTGTTAAGCTATTATTATACATCTTTTTCCTGTTTGTACATTTTAGTCTTATTTTACTCAAAAACCGATAACACGCCAGTGAAAACATTTTTTACCGATATAATCATGTCTATGAGTCCATTTGAATTTGATGCACAGTTTTGCGCATGCACAATCGTATGTATTTTGAAATTCAGTGATTAGATTCGCTTCCAGTCACAAGTTCTATAGTTTCTGCATTTGATTCAAACAAAGAAAAGTGTTCAAATGTGAAGTAAATAAGCTGACAGGCTTTGGCTTTTGGTGACATTACATGTAGTTTTACATATTAGAAAAAGAGCTGCAATTATATTTTGAATGACAGAAATACTTTTTTTTTTTTTTCTGGTGTGTTAAATTGTATTGTATCAGTCAAAGATGTATAATAATTCTATGTATCTATCAAATTTATTTGAGGCAGTTGTCAAACAAATTTTACTCTGGCTGAAACATGTACAGCATATACGATAGTAGTAGTTTCAATAATTCATATTCATACTTAAACTATATAAACCATATACTTAATATCACCCATGTATAAAACACAAATCCACACTGTGAATGAAGAAACAATAATTTCCACTTGGAATGAAAACAAAACCACAAATAAGAAAAATAAAATGTACAACGTGATTAGTAAAGACATGTGAAGAGGAAAAAAAAACATTTAAATTAAATTTAACATTTATAAGCAGAAGCAACATAAATGAATTAAATAGCAAAACAAAGCAATATATATTTAAATAAATTAAGTAAAACTAAACAATATTATATTAATAATATAAGGAAGATAATTAAAATAATTAAGAAGCAAAATATTTTGCATGTATTTAAATAAATATTAGTAGATGAGAAGGAGCATGATTAAATAAAACCATAGAGGCAAGAATAGGCTAGGATAAGAAAATATATTAATTAAACAGAAGAGGAGATGGGATTGAAAAAGAGAATACAATTCCAAAGTGTGATTACTGTCTCTTCATATCAATCTCTTCTAGCCATAGTTTCTGGAGGCACTGTTTATGATTACGATGATGTTGTTATGGGAGGAGGAGGAAATTGAGTGGGAGGGTGAGGGGAAGGGGCTGTGAATGTTTGAATGAGTGATAATCCTGCTTTGTTATTATAAGGCATTTTTGTTGAAACCTGTAATCATGCTGTTATTTGCATCTGCTAATATCTACTAGTTAATAATATGGTCAGATCAGTACACACGCAGACACACTAAACATGCAATATTGAATATTTTTAACTCCAGTGAGCTTAAATTTTGCTAAATCTATAACACACACACTGTAAAAGATTCAGTATTGATTATTTCCTCCCTGTGCGTGTCTAAGTCTTATTTTTATACAGAAATGCCCAAATAATAAACAACTGCAAGTTTATCTTGAAAACTTTCAGGTAAAGGCAACAGTATGGTAAGCTCATTAATTATTCATGTTGTTTTAATTTCACTATTTTCACTAATTGGAATTAAATCCTGGTTATATACCCTACACATTAGAACGTCTTTCACAAGAAAATCTGGGAAAATTCAATCCCAGTAAATTAATGCTTTCACAGGATTTAATAGTACATACATCCATTTCCAAAATGAAAGTGATACTCATAGTTTATGGTTTGAAAATGGAATATAGAAGTCTGGAGCTGTGCTGTTTCAGAATGAAAGCACAGTGGGCTCAGGTAGTGCTCGTCAAGAAATACATGGTATAATACACTGATGCAGTACGTGGGCACACTAGACCAATAATTTACACAGACTAATTACCAGCACAAGCAACAAATTAAAGCATGTCGGTGAAGTGGTTTGTAATTGTACATGCAATACTCTGTGATCCACATTTTGAAATATTACAAGCACTTCAATCAGTTATAAACTATTAAATAAAACACTAAATTCAACCAACTATTGGCTCTGTTATGCAATATGATACACTATACTGTAGTCAATACACCATGCAATCAAACCAATCAATACACCATGCAATCAAACCAATCGATACACCATGCAATCAAACCAATCGATACACCATGCAATCAAACCAATCGATACACCATGCAATCAAACCAATCGATACACCATGCAATCAAACCAATCAATACACCATGCAATCAAACCAATCGATACACCATGCAATCAAACCAATCAATACACCATGCAATCAAACCAATCAATACACCATGCAATCAAACCAATCAATACAACAGACTCTTCACCACCTCGATAAATACCAAACAAATTTAGTTATGCTATTGACAATTTAACTATTCTCCTGAGAATTCTAAAATAGTTTCGTTTTATTTATACAGCAATATTTATGAGGCTTTTCCCCTATTGTCACGTACAGAGTGAAGAGCCTGTATTGTATTATTATGTTACTATTGTAAACATACAACACTGATGATTGGCTCCCATGCTCCAATATCTGACATGCTAGCAGAAAAGAACCAATCAGCAGTGAGCTTACAAGTGCACTAAATATTACAGACAAATCACATGCAAAATGTGCACTATTTTGAGATCTTTTAAAAATGTGTCTGATTCATTTAAACATAATTTTAAATGTTGCTAGTTTTTTCACAGCATGAACAAGATAAATAAATTTCTACAAAATGAATGTAAATTTTTTTAAATTGCTTAGATGTTTTATGGAAATTGAGAACTTGACCAATATTCTATTTCATTTTCTTTGAGAAACAATTTTAGAAGACAAAATTATAACAATTGTTATAACACAATTTTGTAATTTGATCATCAAGACAGTTCAAAAATAAAAGATCTCAAACTGAAATTTACGATGCAGTGCTCTGTGCAAAGTTAGTACATCTATATAACTACAACTATAAATACAGCAAACTTCGCAGGACAGCATGGAGATACATGGGGGATAAATAACTTGGCATGAACTGGGTGTCATGGCAACAAGGAATGCGTGGGATGAGCAAGGAATGATGAAAAAATGTAGTCAGATGTAAAAAGTTGTCATCATGGTGAGTGTGGATGTAAGCGGTGAGTAATAAAACTGTAAATGATGGTGAGGAAAAAAAATTGGAAATTTGAGTAGTTGTGTGTCTGTAACAAAACCTGGAGGAATATACGTAGTTTCATGCATTTTTGATGAGCACATCAACATATCATCAAATGCAATAATAAGCATCGCAGGGAAAACTAATATTTTTAGTAAATTCAAAAATTATTTAAGTAGCAAGTATATTTTACTAAAAACATGCAACATTATCATATTAGATTTCTAAAAGTAGTATGAATAAATAATTATTAATCTGCCAGGCCCAATTACAAGAATTGTTACATGTTGGATAACAAGCAATTTAATTTTACTTTCTAGTGCAAAAAAAGAAGTGCATTTTTCCCCTGATCAACACAATTACAGTTGACAAGGAATATTTCAAGGATCCAAAATAAATCCAGAATAAATTGTGCATTAAATTTATATTGTGTCAATATGCAACTTAAATCCACTAAAATGAGATTATATTTATATTACTTCAACTAAGCTATAACCAATAAAGTGTAAATGCCAGAAAGTTATTCAGCTTTTCACCACCATTAGCCATTTGCGCCTAAGCTCAATATTCAATAAAAAGTTCAAAATATAAGATTGTGAACTTGCATTTTTGGCCGAAATGAATTTTGAAAGTGAAAGAAAAATTAAGGTACAGCAAAATTTCAATGAGTAAAATTCTGTTGGTGAAATTTGTTATTCTTTTTGTGATGATGGTGAAATAGTAAATGAATAGGAAGGTAGATAAGAAGGTGATGTGATACAGTGCCCCAAAAACTGAATAGTTATAGAGTAATTATTATGATATTAGGCAGACACGCCCAGTAACAGACTAAACAGAGAGGGGATAGCCACAAAGTATTGGCCTAGCTAGATAAGAGATATAGCTTCCAGACGCCAACTATACGCATCAATTAAAATTACTAAGTTACCATGGCGTTCTCAAAAGCCCTATCTTTTTCAGCTTTAGTGGCTTGTTTTCCTTTCCACACCCAGACTCCAGCTGCACCCTGATCAATGATGAAGCAATCCTGAAAAACAACAAGTATACGTCATTATTCAAATGTTAACAACCCTGGGTACCATAATATTATTTTAAACTAAGAGGACAATCATTAGAGGGAGAAATGGTAGATTCAAAATATACAAAAAGAAAATTTCACACTACTACAACTTTCTGTTTAAAAAATGCATGTGTGAATGAGAAAAGCAAAAAAATGTTTGTAGCATCATAACTATCTTAAAAAAAACTAAAAACCAAGTGAATGACAAAATAAATGGCAAAGTTTTTTCGACCATCTCTCACACCCAGAGTTTCTATCTCCAATGCTATCTACTTTTAAATATTTTCAGCTTTCACTGTACCTACCTTACCTGGAGAACATCTCCAATGCTTCAAGTTGTCATTTTATTTCTCAATTTTTGGTTACATGTTACACATTTCCATTTTTGTACATGAAAATCTGGATATTAATTATGTTTACAGTAAATTGTATAAATCACATTGCAAAGTCAAAACCCCTACAGAACAAAAATGTCCATCTGCAAAATGGAAGGTAAAACAACCTGACCATCCAAGTACTAGGCTAGCATACTTTTGTGTATACAGAAGTATTTTTAACCTAAATAATGGATGACATGCCTTGGTTGTACATGAAAAAAAAAAATCACATTGTCATTTCAGTTTTTTGTCATGCTCTAAAATCCAGTTGGACACCACTTTCTCCTTAACTATCCATCAATGGTTTCAGTTAAAACACTTTTTTTTTAATAAATGGCGATAAAATAAATAGCGATGAAATGCTGCTATACAATTAAAATGGAGGGTCAAAATAATGCCAATATGATAATTTTGTTTGAATATTGCATCAATAAGATTATGATCATATTTTGTAGCATATTAAGGTTTTTGTTTTTTAACCGATTAATAATTTTGATTCTATATCGTCCCATATTTACATTTTGAAAACCTTATAGCAGTATGTATTTTAATTACCATGTTGTGCTGCACTTAATTCTCATACCGTCCCTCCCTCCCTCTAAAAAGAAATCATGTGATGTTGTACTTACATTACTTTCTAGATTTGACTGTGATAAGGGTCTAGTTGCAATCTCTGTCAGCACTAGCGATCCACTCTGATCAGATACTCTAAAAATAATAAAGCAAATAGTTTATGTCAAATGCATCAATTTAAAATGAATCAATAAAAGCAAACCAGTTTTAAGTATCCTAGTTGCTACTTTATTAAGCATTGCATTTGCGAACTATACAAAGTGTCATACGATTAAGAGTTTTGATAATATTTAGCGTTTTCAATGAGTGAGCAAGCTAGTAAGAAAAAAAGCACAACTATTGTTGTTTTCCACTTAAAATGAATTTTCATACAATGAATAAACAAGCAGCCTGTCGG